AGCAGGACGCCCATCAGCTGCTTTCAGAAAGAGCCTCACTGACACCACTCGCCTGCCAGAAATATCCTTCCTAGCACAAGATGTGGGAGAGATTTTACGTGAGACAGATCAGCTCCGTACCTTTTGGGCTTTGCAGATCAGATGCATGAACCCTATTTATCACTGTTTGTTTACACATTTGGTTACTCCACTGTTTACACAACATTTTTCTAAATGAAGGCAGTTGTAAAACCACTAAATGAGCTATTTTCAGGCTGCTACAAGCAGCTGCTGTACAAAAATAATGAACGGAGTAAAGGTTTTGAGGTAGGCACCTCTGGTGACACTAACACTGACACTAACGAAGTGGAAGATCAAAGTCAGCTACATAAGAGCTTTTTTGAAAGGTAAGACACTTTGACAGCTATGCCCTCCATGGATTTGCTTGTAGAAAAGCAAAAGAGCAGTGCCTTTAACAGAGGTGTAGGCAAGTCTAATTAGAGCTGCACCAAGTGACACTATTATCTTGTAAAACCACCACGTTCTCATATGGCTCCATTTGTTAGACACAGTAAACCTTCATATGAAATGAAAACCAAAAGAACTTGCCCAAAATGCAGAATTTATAATACTAAAGAGCCCTATTTAATAGGAAGCTGGATTTTAAATGGAAAGTACGCACCTAATGAGAACATTACCTTGACAACTGAGGTAACAAAACTGGTCCCATGGGTCTTTGATACAGGAGATCCAGTTCCGTGAGAGGCCTGACAAACACTGGTCAGTTTGCTGGTTGGGCTCCCTGTATATCGGGAAATAAAGCAGATGTCAGGTGAGGGGCAGGGAGCAGTGCCACTTAACACATGAAACCTCTTCTAACAAGAAACATGGCATTTCATTTTGACTGTATTCTCCACGAGGTACATCAGTGGGAGTCGGCATGGGCACAAAACAGATCCACTACCGAATTTCCACCTGCAGAATCCATGCCCCAGAGAAGGTACTCTCCACTGCAAGCAAACGGTCAGGCACCTTCCTGGGACACTGAGGATATCAGCTACAGGTGTGACTATGTGAAATTAGGACAGGAAGTGAGCTGCTGGTCAGAACTTGCTGCTGCAGATGTAACGTCCTCCACTGCCCAGAAGCCCTCTGAACCTATGCTAGCCTTGGACACTGGCATGGGGAAAGGCTTGAAGGAGGCTGGAGTGGGAGGGAAAAGGAAGGCCAGAAAAGGAGGCAAACAAAGTGAAAAGTAACAAGAGGAAGGGACAGAGTGAGGGAGGGAAAAGGAAGAAACAGAAATAGGGAATGAAGGCATAGGCTCCTCTGTCTGTGCAAGACTGCTCTTGCAAACTCATCATACAGAGACGTGTGCCACAGCACTCTCCTGGCCCCGAGATAGACAGGGGTTCAGTGGTAAACTTACCCTGCGTTATCAGAGCACATAAACAACACTTGCTCAGCAGCAGTTTTGTTACTGCTGTTGGTTTCGTTTGTTAGTTTTGTTTAGCTTTTGAGAGATGCCAAAGCCATGGATTACACACATGAAAACACAGTAATAGTCTTCATAGAGTTGTACTGCAATCTGCACTTAAATTTAGAAGTAAATGAGCAGCCATTTCTCACAATAATGGGGTTTGGGAAGGCTGGTTTTCACAGAGCATGAAGTTTCAGATCTCACCCCTCTTTTTAAATATGATCTGTGATTTTGTCTGTAATATCACATTATACTCAATCCAGCCTGGCTGCTGTTGCCAAAAAGCCAGTTCCACATTCTCTCTTGCTCCCTCATACGGGGGGATCTGGTGACGAGGCTATCTGACAAAACTCAGTTTGGGGAGGGGATGGTATTAATCTTCTGCTCTGCCACTGATCTGACTCGTGCAGGATATGGAGGAAGTGGCAGGAGTGCAGGGGAGGGAGAGGCAGCAGTTTCTTCCAGGCCAGTCTGTACTTACATCGCACTAATGTGGTGGGAAACTGCACACTGAGTGGCATTAAGACTTCTATGTCTAAACCATCTGGTGCATCTACAGATCCTATCCTCCATGTACAAATCTCTACTAGGAGAACACAAAAGTTACCCAAACCATGATACACCGCATATGCAGAGTAGCCATCAGGCTGGAGGTAAAGAAGAAACAGAAAAGAAAAAAGGCAGGAAAAGCACAGCCAACAAAAACCAAACCAAACAAACTATTGGTGAAACAGCTTCAGTGTTACCAAGAAAGCCCCAAAACATACAAAACATACAAAAAATTCATCTACGACTACGCTCCCCCTACCAATTCCCTCTGTGATGGAGTTAAAATGAACATGACAGCTGCGTTCCCTCAGATAAAAGGAGGAACCATTATTAAGAGAAGAATTATTGCACTTTTCAACGACGCCCAGTGAATGGTTTGTGTGTTACATGGATGCTGCAGTTGACTACATGGCTCTAAGCATCCTCCTGACATGCTGGCAAGCACTTACACATACACAAACAACTGTGGTTTTAAACAGACAGCAGTTCTTGGCCACAAATCACAACAAATAAATGACTTTTGAGTGACCTTTCCTCCAACCCCGACACAAAGATTACCAGTTGACTCCCATACCTATCACCCGTCTCCTGCAGCTCAGTCCTCCCCCCGACCCTAGGCTTATGTCACCAACTGAAGCACTGAGGGAATCCAGTTAGAGGAATCCAAACGGTCTGGAATCAGGCCAGCTAGAAGTTGAGAGCAGTAACAGAAACTCGCATGGGTCTACTCAACCACTTCAACACATCTAGAGCACCGTACACTGGAACTTAAGATCTGCAAGTCGTTGCAAGCTCTCCATGCTTTTTACCCATATCTGCAATACAGTCCTCACCCAACCATGGGTGCACTGTTTCCGTTTAAATCTCTGTGCACCAGTCTACTTTACTTTCTCCTCTTCCCTTTTTGCCTGAATTCAGTTCAGCCTTACATTATGTGCCGTTTCCTAAAGGAAGTTATGTTAAAGTCTGAGATACCCTTAACCATGTTACACCAGCCAGTTGTACAAACCAGTAATACCTCCCTCTTTCTTTGCCGAGTGCTCTTCCGTCTTTGCAAGCTGAAATACTGTTATTATACTAATCATTTTAAAGGGAGAATAAACTTGAATGGGTAAGACTAAGCCACTGCCTTGTATGATCACACTACACACCTGTGCTTGTGGCTGCTGCTCCAACCATCTGTCCAGGCTTGTCCACAATAATATACGGATTATTAATGACTGAACTAGCAGAGCCTTGCTTCATGTGCACCGGAGTGGAGGTTGGGGTACGAGGTAGCGGAGATGGACTAGGGGTCGATATTGGAGAACCTTAAGAAAAAAAGTCCAATGCTTCTGTCTTGTAAATGTTGTCAGAACATAAAAATATAGCAATAGTAGTACTTATTTAAATGGCTTAGAGAAGGAACATTTTTTTGAGGATGCAATTCCCAGCCTGAGCGAGATCACAGGACTTGGAAAAGGAAAGAGGAGACAGAAGGAAAGAAAGAGGCATGTTAAGCACTATGGCTTATACCTACACCCTGGACATTCTCTGCCTATCAGGACAAGCAGGGTTCAAAGGGACCTTGAGAAGCCATCTAGTCCATCCTTGAATCCTGAGGACACTACCTAAATCATTCTCACTGCCAAGACCAGTCCACCCAAGGAGATGAAGAAAGAGAGCTGAGCTCCTTGACGGATGCCCTCTTTTCCTCGTGGAGCCCACATTACAGGCATTCAGAGCCAGGAACCAAGCAGTTCATGTAGAAAAGCTGTGCAATGCAGCAGCCATCAGACAGGCATGGACGCTCTTGTCTCTTCACTGCTCTCACTACAGCAGGAGTCCTTGAAAGCAAACTCTAAAGTGTGCAACTTCTGGGTAAGAGGACCAGGAAAGAGAAAAGCTAGAGAAGAAAAAAGCTGCATGAGGGGGTAAACAAGAAAGCAGAGAAAAGGACAGGCAAAGAAGTGATCAGAGAAAGAGATGGCAGCAAGCACACTAATCTTCAACTGCCTGTTGGCTCTGCTTTCTTGGCAGTGATTGACAATTAAAATGGAACATAAATGCTGGTCAAATAAAATTGCCATGTCTTATAAACTGCTTTTGAAAACTGAAAGGGGTGACACTTCTCAGCAGACAGCAGAGCCTTGGAAAAATATTTAGCAGAGAAACATTTAATTAGCAAATATCAACAGAGAACAGTCAAAGGATTTTAAGAAAGATAGGATGGCCCCTGTAATTCTTGCTTTCTGGGAAGCCTTGGGAAAAGAAGATCAAGAGAAGAGCTTATCAAGAAAGAAGAAAGCACTTGGCATATGTTCAAATGTAAATCAGCCTGAATACAGTTTTAAGTTTCAATATTTTTCCTTGACATCTTAATTAAAAAAAACCCAACAATAAACCAGATACATTTGAGGAAAATTATTTGGGAGCAGATCATCAGAAATCACACAGACTGATAGCTGGTGCTTCATCCTCTCTACCCTGAACACCAGAAAATGAGGGATGTAACAGGTCATCTTTCAGCTCACACGTGACATGGTGAGCTGCACATTAAAACTTTCTGATGTAAAACATCATCCAGTGGATGTCATCATGCCCAGGCAGGGAAGGGACTATAAGTGAAATGACCAAACAGCACCTTGAACATGTTTAGTTCAGAAACTATCAAAAGAGTATCACGTTGCTCACTGCAGTCAGCTGACAATTGAATCCAACAGAGGGTGAACTTTTGGAAGAGGAAGACCAAAGCTGTTCCATTTGAGGAGATATCACAAGTACAAGAGGGACCATTTGAGTCTACAAGGTTGAACCTAATTATTTGCCCAATAATCAGAAAAAAAAAAAAAATCTTCTTAATCCATCCCAGTTGTCTGAAAGTGGGAGGGAGAAGAATGGCTTCTTCCCACATGCAAGTACCCCACATGGAAGATGTGTCCTTGCCTAGGCCTTTCTGTGGGTAGCAGTCCAGTTAAAGACTATCATTTTCATACTTAAAAGCATTGGTGAACAGGGAGAGAAGAGCTCTCATCCTGCTTTTGATCTGATGTGAAGCATTTCACACCTGTATTTTTTTTCCTTGAACGTGAAGAAGTGTGTTTAGCTCCTTCTTCTAGAGTTTCCTACTGCCTGACATTCAAACACTGGCAGGAAATCAGGGGAAGGACACAAAACAAGTCCAGCTGGTTCACTCTCTTTTTTCCAGTGTGAAGCACTCGGATAGGTAAACTAACATTCACCTGATACAATCTTGCAACTCATGGTGATAGGCTGGAAGGATTTTCCTGGCGACTCTGCAGGGCTTGGACTCTGACCTTGAGGCACTATTTTACAGCTAGCTGCAATAGGTTGAAAAGCTGAATTTCCATGAGAGCCAAAGGCAACTTTCTGTGTGGCTAACTTGGTGGGAGTCCGTTCTATCGAAGATGGCAGGGAATAAAACGTGGCATGTCTTTCGGTTTCAGCATTCCCAGGGAATCCTGATTAAAACAGGGAAAAGAAGATAAATAGTTCTTAGGCTGAGACATCTATTTCCTTACTGTGCTTCTCTACACAAACAAAACTCAGGTATGACAAACATGCTCTTGAAGGAAGGAAAAGCAACTGGTGGGCAGCGCTGAACGGGGAGAAAGTGGGGTAGGGGTTTCCTCCTGTGCAAGCCTGTTGGATTTGTCCCTGAACAGAAGAATAGAATGCTACCGTGCACAGCCTGTTCAGCTGCGGCAGGTGACCAGCCACTTCTCACACATTTTCTTGGAATGACCCTTCCATTGACCAAAAGCTGCTGGTAGTTGAGTGTCCTCGGTTAGGGCTTCACAGGACTAAGGCTGGACCTCCTTTGCAGAGAATCTTGCAGTGCATTTTTTTGGAGTAAGAGCACAAGGAGACAACCTTTTGACCTGGGTTAAGGAATCCACCTGATCTGATGTAGAAGGAGATCAGTTAACCTGGAGCTGACAAGAGAAGCCACTGCCTGTCAGTGTAAGAAAGAGGCAGGTTTACTTCCTTCCTGTTTGCTGTAGCACTGCTCACCTAAAGGTGCTGCATATCTTCCTGTTTGAATAAAAAGCCTGTGCATTTAAAATGTGGTTGTGTTTCTCCTTTTTTGGCCACAAGAACACACCGCATTTAAACAGTGGACATTCTTCTTGCTGAGCCAGAACACCGCCAGTGGCCCTACCGCACCTACCAGAAAGTGCACCATGCAAGATACCAGCTTAAAGCCATTCCTTGAACACAGGAGTGTCAGGATAAATCAAGAAAGGCATCAGATCACATTACATGTGACCATATTTTGAAATATAAAGTTGCTGTTTCCAGCAAGTTTCTCGCACTAAAACGTGCAAACCATAAAAGACATGCTTGTTTCTCAGCCCAGTTAACCAAGGTCTATCATGTAAGCCTTGACACCGTATATTTCAGAAAATAAAGCTAAATGGTAACAGAGGCACAGTTTTACTTACTTCACACAAACTAAAAATCAGAACAGTGTGCCCAAGTGGACAGCACCAGCTTGTTTCAGGCAACTCAAATGATCCTAAGGCATCAACTGCTGGCCCACTGCAACAGGCACCACATTTCCTGATCTTACAGAGGAAGGTGAGAATGAGACCACGACATGCACAGATGTCATCCCTCAGACAAACGTACACTATGTCTTTTTCACTTTCCATTTTCATCATCACTGTTATGCAGTCTTTTTTTTTTCTCCCGCAGTCAACTCATTTTAGGCACCAATGTATATAACTGAACACACCACTAGACCAATTTCTTAAATCTATACACAGTCCCCAAAACATTCAGAAACCTAAAAAACCCTCTGAAAACAGTCTGCCAGGAACAAAACTACAAGTGCTATTCAACAACCATTTTTCCAACTACATCGCTGCATAAAGCTCCATATTCACTATGTTTAGCAAAACAGAGCCCACTCACAAACTCCAGATTTAAAAAAAAATACAAAACAAAACCGCAAAACCCAAATAAACCGTAACAATTTCTGAACTGCATTTTGGAGTACACGAAGAAATAACAACCTGGGGTGAACAAGGAGCAGGTAGCACTGGCAACCTTTAAGCCAAGAGAGCAATTAAGAGGAGGTATCCAGAAAAGCTGAAGTTCCAAGAACTCGAATTTCACTAATACCCATTCGCTTTACCTTTGTCCACAGAAGCATCTGGGCTGGAGTCCCGCAACTGTTTAATTGGCGAAGAAGCTTTGACCGGTGCTGGGATACTCAGTGGCAGTGGTAAAGATGTAGGAACGTCAGAAAGGTCAGACTCCGAAGACTGGGAGAAGAGATATTCCTCGCCAAGGGAATGCCTATGTAGCTCCACATCCACTACCTTCCAGAAATAGGAGAAAGGATGACATTAATATTTGATAGCTAGGTAAAGATACAAAAAGTGAAAACAACGATGCCTTTTCTTTTTATTTTAATGTCTGGAAACTTCTCCCTCTCCTCCCCCCACCTCTGCATAAAACTTCCATTTGTTTCAGGAAGACTTCCCAGAGGTCCAGCAGCACCTGAGCTAAGACAAAAATCTTGCAACATTTAACCGCCATGGTAAAATAGCACATCTCCGAGTCCATGGGGAAATCTGAATAGTGAACACTGTAAGGAATACAGAGCCCAGCTGCAAGCATGCCACTCAGGAGAGGAGACTGCATACCCGCTTAGGGACAGGCGCAAAACTGCAGCTTGCCTTTTTTGATAAGGCCTTGAGAAACACATATGATCTACTCTTCAAAATGTCCTTTAATCACAGTAGTAGACATCTCACGTTAATGTTTTCTCCACAGACTGCAAAGCTGAAGTAATGCAATTTCACCATAAAAATTTCCATTCATTATAGTATAACAAGGGGAAAATAATACAAAAAAAACTTTAGGGATATAGCAAACTATGACTTATTAATTCATTTATTTTATTGTAAGTTTTAAGAGTTCATTTTCCATCGAGATACTGAATCTTGACAGATGCAGAAACTTAGAATTACTTAAATAGTGCAAAACTTCAGCAGGACAGTTGGGTGATCCCTTTAACTTAAATTCTTTATGTATGAGATCTACAGCACATCAGAATGCAAATCAAGACATTTGGTACCAGAAGCTCCACAAAGAAATAAAAATTAAAACTGTAGTACAAGTTAAGTTCTTTATGAAAGAAAAGCTGGAAACAGTCTCCCCTGAACTGGAAAGGGGAAAAAATTACTGTTGTCATGAATAGTGACAAGGTGTCATAATCATTTCATTTAACAAGAGAGCAAAATCTACATTTCAGAAATTGTGAAATCAAGTGGGTCTGACTCTGTGCTTAGTCCCATGTATCTTTTTCTTTTTAAACACCCTTAAGGGAATCAAAGTACAACATCCATCCCGTGACCCATTGACTCACCGTTTCTGCGCCAAGCGTCTGCAGGCCTGTGTAGGTCCTGTCCAACTGGGTAAAACAATACAATATATTCATATTAACCAGGGCAAACCCATGTATTAACTAGAATTTACAATACAATTTGTTTGAAAGGGGTATGAAACTATGTAAGTTGAGCAGCGGTGCATCAACTATTTTGAGGCCACAGGGTCAGAAATCTGTGTGCTCTGTTTAGTATCCTCTCTTCTGCAAAAAAGCCAGCTACAACCCAAAGCCTACACTAAAGCAGAAAGCAGCAAAAAAACTGAAGGAAATGAGATCGTTGGGGAGATAGAATCATAGAATGGTTTGGGTTGGAGGGGACCTTTAAAGGTCATTTAGTCCAACCCCCCCTGCAATGAGCAGGGACATCTTCAACAAAATAGGTTGCTTGGAGCCCTGTCCAATGTGACCTTCAGTGTTTCCAGGGATGGGGCAATTATTATTTTATTCTAAGAGAAGCCTTTGAGGAGTGTCCTTTTTATTCCTCAAGTCAATATAACGAAATAATAATGAGAAAAAAATCAGAGAGATTTAAACTAACCCGCACAAAGGCTACGTTTGCACTATACTTCTGATTAAATAACTGTTCACACTGAGTATCAGATGATGAAGAGGCAGAAAATCCCAGAGGCATCTATTAAGATACCTATAGAGAGAAGTTGGGTTTGACAGGCTCCTGGTGCTCCAGAGCTCAGGGGCAGAGAGGCTGCCAGCCACAGAGGAAGCCTCAGCTCATTCACATCACCTCACAGCTGCCACAGGCTCAGTATGCAAACAGTAAAGATTTGCTGATTTGAGTTCTTGTGTGTCACGGACTGGCTCGTTTTCTTCTGTAGGCTGGGCTTCCTCACTACACAATGTCCATCATACTGTTACCAATTTCTCCCCAAGTTCTCTCTCTCCAAATGTATTTTACTCATCTACATTAAATGTCCCTAAGTTCCAGGGGAACATTTCCAACCTTCTCTACTGTCTACATTTAGGGTTGTAATAAGGTATCTACATTAGCAGGGAATTCATTAATGCACGCAGGGTTGAAATAAAACTGATCATACTGCTCAAAGAAACAGGAAACTAAACCAGCTCAGGACTTAACTCCACTAATACTAGCAACTACTAATTAAAAGGAAAATAAGAGCAATGGTCTAGTTTTGCAGGACTGCTGCATACAATAAATCCTGCTGAGTGTCACAGGACAGGTGAATGAGTTGAAAAAGAAAGCTCTCTTCAAAAGGAAGAATGAACAGGGAATCTCAGCCCTGCCCTGCCCATTCTACCAACAGAGATAGTCTCTAGCTGATACATGCAAGTGCTGAAGAACAGAACAAATAGAGCAATCACTTCACCAACAGAAAGATAGCCCTGCAGCACCCTGTCAAGTTAAAGACAGTGATAGCACGATAAATATCTCAAATTTTAGGGAAACAACAGGTAAATACTTTGCTGCTCTGAGCAGAATCAGTTCCAGCTTCTGCAAGGCTGGGTTCCTTGCCTACAGCATCACCTCCAATATAGCCACGGTAAGAGGCTTTCCTGGATCTTTTTTGATTCTCCAGCTCAGCTATTCATGTGCAAAAAAACAGCAGGACATACACACAACAGAAAGAGGCAGAAGCACACACACAAGCAGAGCATCTTCTAGATTATGCAGGAGAGCTCATTTAATTGCCTTTCTCTCAAATATTTTGTTCAAATACCTTCAAATTGTGTATGATATCGATCCTCTTGTTCTGGCTATCCTTGAAGTGTATCTGGACTCTCACAGGGAATTCTCCCCAGCCTCTCCTGGTCAGGTGAAATGGAGGTTCTCTGGAAACAAATGGTGATCACATTTTGGATGCAGAAGTGGTATACCTTTCACCTGCCTCTTTTTCAGAAAGCTAAAGGCTGCTTTTCTAACTGACAACTAAAGCTATCTTCAGGCCTGCTCTTCACCACAGAGAGAATTCAGTCACAGAAATAAGAATCTTATGGGTTTGGACAGCTGAAAACATATTTATTTTGCACAAAGAGACAGGGAAGAAAATGGTAAAACACTGTTGGATGATAGAACATGTGAAACAAATGTCAGGGGTGGGAAAAAAATGGGGGGGAGGAGGGGGGAGGGGGGCACGTGGAGAAGAAAAGACTGTGTGTAATGCCAAATGAAAAATACTTGTTTCAAAAAACCCCAAGTCAGCTCAAGGACACAGCTGCAAGGTGAGTTTTTAATGCAGCATTTTGCAATCACGTTCTGCTATTCCCTGTCTAGTAGCAAGAAGGTGCATGCCTCATGTAACGCCGAAAGAACAACATACAGACAACAAGGAAAAGCTAACTCAACCACTGAAAAAAAGAAACATATTTATATCTAACATTTATGGTTACTTTTTTGGTATTTCAACTTGTTGTTATCGTAAATCCCAAATGTAGTTTTGCAATTAAACAAAATGCAAGAGGTTTAAAGGCTATTTTTAGTCCAGAACATTAATGTTCACTATATAATGACCAGGACTGTGCAACAAGAAGAAATCAATTAACTAGATGGGATTAAAACAGAAGACAAACAGCACTGATGTCAGATACTGGAAACTGAGAAAGGCACAAAAAGACAGCAGTCAAACGTAATTTAGTATATTATACAAGAAATACAAAGGAGTTTGCTTTTGTCCTGCTCAGGGTTGCCTTCTCAGAAACATCAGTGAGCCTTACCAACACTTCTATTTCAGATATGTCTTTATGTAGTTGCCTTTCAGTCAGCTTAATTTTGCCAGAATTAAGTTGCCAATCTGCACCTAGGTAATCTCCCCACCTTCCTCCAGGCAGGCAGCTGAACGTCATGTGAATAATTTCTTCAGGAAGACACAAAGTAGTTTGAAGGCATGCTCCTGCTGTCTTCTCCAAAAGAGCAAGAATGAAAGACTGACAGGGCATTTCCCCGCAGCAGCCAACAGAGAACCGACCCTGTTCATCTCATTAGGGTCACAGCTTTGAATACAGGTTTGGGAGAGGACAGAGAAGCTGCCCTGTTTCTGTAGCACCAACACCATTACACTAATGGGAAATTTCTTGAAGCATGCAGCCAATGCCACTGATCTCACTACAGTAGAGAAATATTTGGGAGAAGAATAAAACTTCTTGCCCAAATGCACATGTATCATTAAAACTAAGGGCAAAAGAGCTTTCTGAGGCTCCTCTTTCTTTTCCACACTGGACAGGGCGGGAGGTAGAGAACACCTCCTTTAAGAACAGAAGTCTAACCTGCACAGCAGACTGTAACACATACAGGAGACGCAGAAACTCACAGGAGTAACACAAGATGCAACAATTAAATGTTTTTTTCCAGTACAAAAATAAATAAACTAAAAAAAACCCCCAAAAACTAAACACACCACCATTTGGCACATTTGCTGCATAAAACCTAATGTATTTTTTCTATTATTTTGGAGTAAGTCAAGCCAAGCCAGAGGTTAAAGACAGACATGGAATACAAAATCAGGAAAGAAGTTGCTAACTTTCTAAGAAACTTGGCATAGTAAGCCTGACAAGCATAAAAACTGGAATAATTCCTTATTACCTCACTTCTACCAGGTCATTAGGTTTGTAACTGGGATGGAGGAAGAACCAAACTTTCTTGACAAAGTGATTTATGCTGGGTTCTCTCCGAGAGCCCCGGACATACACCATCCATTTATGGGTCGACTGATCATTTTCTTCTCTCTTGTCAGGGGGAATGTACCTGCCAAAGAAATTAAAAAACAAACAGAAATCCCAAATAGATAAATACCACAAGAAGTACTTCAGGAAAACTTAGGCAAAAAAACTAGAGACGGTAAAATGCTTAGGTGCACCTTGCACCCTGTATGGTTCTGCTGTTCACCCATCTGACAGTTCATCCAGCTCTTCAGAAGAACTCCAGAAACAGAAAAAGGTCCCATAATCTACTCTATGCTTCTAATACATTTCCTCAACTTCAGTGCACAACTGTCACATGAAATCTGTCCATTTAAACAGGTGCTTCTTAATCAGGCTTAATTTTAACATTCTACCACTGTCAAATCTCTTTCCCCCTCTTTTCTGAGATATCAAGAAGTCAAATCACTCCAGATCACAACATCAGCAACTCTGCTACCATAAATATAAAAAATAACAATCCTTATAGATTTTTAAGAAGCTTCATAGTCAATACTTGGTTCTGGGTCCAGGCTTAGGTAGACTTTCAAGATGCATTTCTAACACCATTAAGTCTCACCAGCAAATGTTTGCTGCTTTCTGTGCAAGAGGAAAAGACTGACTTGAGCAGTGCGAGGGTGGAGAGTTAAAACCTGGGCTTGTCCACAGTTTCCTAAAATGAATGCCTTTCTTCACTGATTTCCTCAAAGTTCAAAGTTATGTATATTTACCTGTCTTTAAAATTTTTGAAAAAAATTACAAATAAAAACTGTACAAATTAATTTCTTCAGACTATGCTGGACTTTCACAATTTTCCTCATTCTGGTGGTTTGGGTTTTTGGGGGTTTTTTTGTTTTAAAAAACCCACATTGTCCCTATGGACCCACTGAATTAGCCATTAGGACAACTTGCTTTTCCATATTTTCATGGAAAAACTTGAAAAAACTGGTCAGAAAAGGCTGAAAGACTCCCCTTGAAAGAAACAGATCTTAAAACCCCCAGGTGTGTGTATATATATATATATAAATAAAAACCCAAAACAACTACTAAACATCTGTTCCTCCCACAAAAAAACCTCATGCAGACACTCAAGGAGGGCAGCCTTGGGGACAGTGACTATTCAAGGGCAGTACCTCACATTGTGACAGCCCAGCAATTTTATTTGTCTCCTAATTTTAACCTACTATTCCATTTGATCCTGAAATAAAGGCCCATCCCTCAGACTCTGGATACTAACTTGGAGACGTTGCCAACCACAATTGTTTTCTTCACATAAAGCCGTGAAGTCTCATCACTTGACAGTCCGGCATTTCGTTGTCCTGGTTTTTGAGAGCTGGAAACACCCGAACTGTCCTGAGGGTAGGGGAAGAAAAAAAAAGGCAAACAAAAACCCAAACATTCCTCTTAAACATCATTTTGTTTGGCACTAGGAAAGTCAGGTGTTGTTAAAAAAAGTAAACCTGCATAGTTAAATGAGACACCAACAATGAATCACCCCTAAAAATACTTAAATTGCTATATAGGCATGTTTAAGCAACTCAAGCATGCAACAATGATATACTACCTAACCAAGTGTACGCCGCATGGCTTAACTGAGCGTACATTATGTGACATACCATGGATCTGAGCCATGATTTCAGCTTGGATTTCAAAAGCACTGCCACTGCACTATCTGAAAAAAAATTAAGCATTGCTAGAGTGGCATCATGTTGGCCACCAATCAGAAACAAAGATAAATCTCCCACAAGTGACTTCTGAAATTCTAAATCTTTCTCATTCCCAGCCTCTGCTGCTTTGAGGGACTCCAGTGTGGCTTCACAGTGAAGAATGGAGGCTGGGCTTGAGACAAGAATTCAGCTCCAACTCAACAGGGATAGCAGTCAGCCGTACCACATCACCGACATCTAGATAAGCCTACAAACCCACTGCAATTCTTGGGCATAATAAATCCAGCTTAAGCAACCTTATAACATAACCTCAGCTATTAAGTAGTGGCCAAAACTCCCTGGTAAAATGATGCCATGACCACCCACAGTGCCAATGTATGCCGCACTGTCGTTTGCACGGGAATGAGAGGCTTTTCTACAATTCTGTTGGATAAAGCGGCTGTCCATCGAATAAGGGACTGCCATCCTCTTATGATCAACAGAGTTGGTGCTGCAGCTTCCTGGAGCGTACTCCACTGAGCACTCGTCAGATGAGGGTCAGTGTGGGGAGCAGTGGATTCACTGGGAACCGCTACACCTCCTCTGTTAAGTCAGTGATGCCCCAAACTGGAGCAAGGAGCCACAGAAGGTTGGGATGGCTCCTGCACCTCATCATTCCCTTAGCCACCTCTGGGTGACAGGCTGCGTTGGTCGAAGATGTACCAACATGCTACACCCAAGCAATACAACTGCTCCATCAGTGCCCCCAGTGCAGAAACAGGTTATATTGGTCCGGTGGTTTATGATATAGGTGGGTCCACATTACATATTCTATATCTGCCTTCTGCTACAGACCCTAGGCAGGGCTTCAGTAAACTGCAGCCCTGTTATCCACGGTGTTATGCTGCTCAAGGGAGGCAGAATCATTGCTCTTTCTGCCACGTATTATTGCAACTTGTTCAGTTGCAGAACGTAGTCATATGTAATGACATATACCCATTTCCAGTTTGGGTTGGACGCTGTACTCTGACAGTCCTGACAGCTTAAAGGAACTGAAAGGAAACTGAAGAGTTTCATCTCACCCAGCAAGCTGCATTTCACCTGCAGCCTGTGAGAGAGCCTCCCCAGCAGAGCTAACTGCAGCTGACAGGTGAAGTATTTCTGTAGCTGCATGGCAAGCCATAAATGGTTCCAGGTCAAAAATAACCCAGAAAAAAGTATGGGGGAACAATGAAAGAAGGTATTTTTAACCTGGGTCAGTCTGGTTCAATTAAGCAAACAGTGATATCAGCACAACAGCAAGCAAGCGCCACCAAGGGAAAAACAACTCAAACTACGCACCCAGGCTCTATCAGCTTATGGTCCCAGGGAGAGCTAATCCACCGGTATCACTATGTTTTCTCCACAGGCTGCTGAGGAGGCCAAACCCCAAACTCCAGTGGTTAAACCACTCTAAGCAATGCAGTCCCCATAGGCACTCGGGGCCGGGCAGCAGCATTGTTTCTTAAAAACACTGCTGAGAATGACACACCTTGCTCTTCTCTCCAGGCTCTGCCCTTCCTAACCTGACTTTCATCTGCAGGGCGAAGCTGTTTGCTCAAGCTGTGAAACACCTCCTTCCCCAGAGGCTACCAACCAAGGCAGCAGCAGATAGCTGGGCTAACATGAACACTATCACCGCTGCCTGGCTGACCTCTCTGTTGGCCAAGACTGAGTTAAGAGGAGTTACCCAAGTTACATACACTTCAGTTAGCCTTACAGCAAAGCCCAGCTGAGAGAGTGGGAGCAAGCGGTTGGAGAGGGTAAGAAACAGATCTTCAGCAAGGTGGGTGAAAGCATGAAGAGCTCCTGGTGCCAGCACTGAGTCCAAACAGAGCACACACCTCCAACAACTTGACCACCACTCGAGTTTTACTTTACCCGGCCAGTATTTCTGCTCTGTCTCTGGTCCAGGCTGTTTGTCAGCCGCTCGTCTGCATCCAAGTTGCCATTGTCTTTGTCCAGGAGAAAGTCATTGTGCTGAGAGAGTGAGTCACTCTCGGAGTGGTTGGCAGATGGCGTGTCTGAGCCCTGGTTAGCTGGAGATGACGATCTGGAGGGCGATTCCAAGAATTTCTTGATTGATGGGTGATTAAGTATTGTCGCATCACATGACCTGGTCCCCTGCAACAAAGAAGTCAGGCAGATCTGTCACTATTTCCCTGCAGCCCAGATCAAAACGAAGCTGTGTCAGAAGCAGGGCAAAATGTTAACTTATGAAGAAAGAGCAAATATTTAATCAGCTGCCTTGCAGGAAAAACATATGCCGCAGAAGACAAAAGCTTACAACAGTTCTACAGAAACAGGACCGCAAATTGAATCTGTTCCTCTAGACATTTTGATCTCAGAAACCCACCTGGTTTTGGAAGGGAGGACTGCAGCCTACTGTCACTTTGAAAACAACGGCTTCCCTTCCTGTGCAGACACCTACTGTCTTATACCATACGAAAGACCACAGCTGCCCAATTCCCGCAGGCAAGCAGGGTACGCAAATGCATCAGGCTCTTCATTTTTTATACTGCCTGGCAGTCTTGCCAATGCCTATGAGGCAAGCTACACATATTAGCCCCCTGTCTGCTCCCAAAGCTTAATGGAGGATAAAGAATAATGCGCTTAGACGTGCTTGCAAACTCTCCTCAAAATGGACGTCTTAGAGCTAAGAGCTTAGATCCTCCTAAACCTGCAAGGGGGAGGACAGGGGGTGTGTGTAAGTGTGCATTTAAATATCTTGGGTTTTTTTAATTACTGTGACAAAGGCCCAATGTATTTTTTTCCTGCATTTGCTTTTAACCTCAGAAGTAGCAAGGAAAACACCCATCACTCAAGGCAAGTGTCCCTCAGCCACTTCTCCCAGGCATCAGTCCTCCCTGTCACCTTGGTTTGATGATGAATCAACTGAAGGCAGCAGAAACACCCCTCTGCCAGCAGCAGAGCACGACACATAAGCTCACTCCAGCTCCTGAAGCCACAGACCCACACTAGAGTTGCACTGACAGCTTTTCTTGCAGTCAGTACCAGCTGAAAGAGGCTTTCTTCTTCCCTGCCCAAACCAGCTGGGTCAGCCAGGCTGGCACAATCACTCAGGGCGAGGAGACAGGTTACAAAGAAAAAACAATCAAGAAACTGATTTGGACTTTTTTGTTTGTTTGTTTTGTTTGGAGTTTTTTTTTCCTTTGCAGAGTTATTTTTAATCCACATGACGTTCCCTGATCCAAAATTCTGCCAACGTGATGGAGGGGGTGGCATGGGGAGAGATACCAGTGCCACCATGGAGCAACAGAACTGCCCTTGAGAGGTGGTAGCAGGAGTGGAGTTAAACACTGATCCACCTTGGACTTTAGAGGTTCATTTGAGAGCTTTCTTTCCAATTGTCCGTATGGTATGTGAGTGAAGCAATTACCAACTCTCAATTATCCACTTGAGAGTTATAGCCATATATCGAATGGCAGAGGGACACACACAACATGACCAAAAAAACCCCCAAAACCAAAACAAACCACTGCCAAGAACCCCTTTTTTTTTTTACCTCCAGTCAAGTAAACTGACCAACACCTTGTCCACTAATTTGTGGGAAAATGTAATAAAACTGTAATCGTATGGAATCATAAGCCTCAAAAACCCAGCAGCAGTAGGTTGAAGAACTGTATATATTTACGAGAACAGGTTAGGAATTTGCAAATCATCTTCCTAGAAGTTCTGAATTAAACTCCAAAGATACCCATTCTACCAGAAGCAGAAACAAGACAATCATTCACTGCCGAGTCAAACATACATTAACCACACATTAAAAACAGACAACAAAGAAAACTGAAAACAGTAACAATTTCAAAATAAAAAGAGAACTGATTTAGCCTGCATGCAAATCAGGATTTTTAGAAAAAATTAAAAATGCAATCAAAGATACAGCTACACTAGCCATAAGCTCATAAAAACTACAGGAAAACTAAACAAAGCAAGGATGCACCAGAAAGTTTTGTGGACACTTCGAAACAATGACAAAAGTTATTATTTTTCTGGCAAGTGTGAAAATCAGCAAGGAAAAAACAAACACCTTGCATGGCAGAACAAGTAAAGAACAGGAGACAGTGCAAACTCTTGCTGACACATGACATTGGATAAAAGCACTTTCAAAGATCAGAATCCAGCTCACATTCTTCAGCTGCCTACACAAAAATCAAGGCGAGAGAAGGGACCTCCAAGCCTCCCAATATTACCAAAATCCTTCTCAACTCCAGTCGCTCAACTCAAGTTCAGTGAGGGAAAGAACAAGCTGGACCTTTTTGGTTTTACCCCCCTCCAATTCTTCTGGAAATCACAATAGGAAAACAGAGCAGCAGGGCAAGTCACTGCTTGGAAGAGAAATTCTCATTGTACTAGAGTGAAGCCCAGGTTTGCTTCAACCCATCTACAGTTCTCCAAAATTCTTTACCGGAAATTAGATCAACTGCCTGAATTGAATAGACGGTAACTAAAATACCTAAACCGGGAGCGAACTGCATGTCAATTGGGAGGCTGCATGAGTCATGAACAACCTGTGAGTACTCGGAACTGGGGTTTAACTAGTAGGGCTTGGGGTTTTTTTAATCTCCTTGTGAATTTTTAATCTCTTTGTGATATCTCTTTGATTTACCTCCTGCTTTACTGCTGCCATCAGTCTGTTCACCAAACAATTAACAGATTGGCTACCAGGGTAAAGGAAGGATGGTTTCACGGCACTGCCTGAGACTCAAGAAATCTTTTTTTTTTTTTTTTTCCCCCTGAGAAGTTTCAAAACCCATCTGCTTCCACTCTCCTCCCGTGAAACGGGAAAGCATGTTCTCCACTTTTCAGGGCTCTGCAAGGATAAACTGTGCAGTGTGTGAGAAGCAAGGAGGTCTCATGCAAGAACTGATGAAAAAAGCAGAGAGTATTTCACAAACCAGAACCAAGTGCTGCTGAACGACTTCTCAACTGTTCAGCTGCTGAGTACCTGAGGCCCAGCTGGTGATGCACAGGTCTCCTCTCCCACTGCCACCTCACTAGCAGATTGTATTCCACCATTTCAGAAAACCGCTTCTCAAAACCAAACATGAGCTGAACATCCAGTAAACTACGCATCTTCCTTAGCAAATATGCCCTAAAGTCTTACTATTACCAAAGTAATTTTTACCTCTCCAGCTTTAAGGAGACCAGCAGATGCATAATAGTTAGCCACAATACAGGCACGCAGCTTATCCATCATCCTTCTTGCTTCAATCAGGCGCTACGAAAAGAAGAGGTAACATATAGTAACAGGTAACTACTGCAGCAATTCCCCCCCCCCAAACCCCACACACCAGGATCCTACGTATTTTTAAGAACAAAACCTTTATACCTGGTCTATAACTTCAATTTCATGTTCTTTACTCTTCATTTCGACCGCAAACTGTTCTTTTATAATTGTCTCAATCTTCTGCACAGCAACATCTCTAGCTGTACAAGGCCGCACATGGAAAATAAACAAGAAGGAAGTATTTATATTTCTATTTTTGAGGCTCTGTTTGAAAAAATAAAGATCAGAAATCATTATGGAGCAAGAATTGAAGGGATAAGAAGTTCAGCATACACACAAAAAAAGGGAAGGACCATTTTTCTGCAAAAGAAAGTAATTTGTCTTAACAAAAACCACATGTATCTTTAAAAGCTGGTTTATGTGGAGGGCTATTTTTTTCCTTTTTAGGTCTGAGATGACAAAAAACAGAAGATAGGAAGAGCAGGAGCAATTTGTTTACTTCTAGCTCAGTAAAGCTGTAAACAGTAAACAGAAAACTCAAATGTGCTACAGCCAAGTGCAGTTACTGCTGCGATTGTGCAGGAGTACGCTGGAACACTACATACATTTTTCTTCTCTCTTTGGCCTGATTTATATCCAGGAAATTTACACCACATCATGCAGCAATAATAAAGCAAACTAACACTTTATATGTTCAGCACTGGCATGAAGTGCAGCCTGCTCTGGCGTGTCTACAAGCCTTTTATTACCCACAAAGGAAACTACATTATCAAAAGCTGGTCCACCTCTTACAAAATCCTATTCCAGCACGGCAGTCAAAAAATTTTAGCCTTTCAGCCAGAGTTTATTGACCTTGGTGGAAAGCATGTAGTTTAATATTTCAAACTGTGCAAATAGCTTACTGCAAATTAGCAGCTAAGAACTAAATTGGTATCTTATTGTGCTTTTCTAGAACATGTATAAACATAGGAAGAACAATTCTTTTTTCCCTAGATCTACCATAGACTTTAATATTGTCCTTCCTTTAAGTCACCTCCATTATATCATGGGGATTCAAACAACACCTGTTTGTAGCAGGTTCTAAGCAAGAACTTGGAAAAGCAGGAGTTGTATTTCTAGAAGAAAGCCTGGAAAAGGTCCTCCAGCCTGTATCAGAAGTACAGCAACCCCACTGCAAAGCAGATCAGAGAAACAGCCTGGATTCCTCTAAAAAAAAAAAAAAAAAACTCTCACATTGTTTCTGCATGGAATAGGAGACAACAGCACCAAGACTTCGGTTTGAGCTTCAGAAGAAGCATTTGTTTGACTAAAGGGTACATATCTGTTTGAAGAGGTTTCTAATATCCCAACAGAAAGAGTAAATAAATCAAAAGCAACTCAAAACTTTGCTGGTATGTTCCAGCTAGCATACGTAATTTTAGTGTCTGATCAGGTACCTACAACAGGACTAAGGCAACTGATGCTCCATTTGCAACAGGGGTATCCTAAATATTTTTACTCATTTCCAGATATCCGTGTGCATATATGTATATATATTCTAGGACCAGAAACAGTTCAGGCCTACATTAAAACAGAATTATGGTTGAATCTGTATGAGTAATGCAAAACTAAAAAACCAGAGGGATATAATTTTCCTCAAACCATGAACATCATGCCTAGGAAATTCACATGTAAGGCTACACTTAAAATAAACCTAAACAGATTAAGGTATGAGATGTACAGTTCAGACAGGGACAAATGCATCTCTTCCCAAAACTGATGCCATGCAACACCGGCATTATGGCAATTAAAGCACTTTAGGATTTGTGGTTATATTACAGAGGCTTTTAAGAACACTTTATTTTCATGTTTTTCCCAGCATTCGTGTCAACCACAGTCCCTAATTAAGATCATGTTAGTGAAATTTGTAAACTTAAGGAATTTTTGTACCTAAAGTTGAAGATCTTCCACGAGAGGAAGAAAGAAGCCAGTTTGGAGGAATCACCTGAACAGAAAGTTCACTTTGGCAAGGACAGTTTTCCAAGGCCCTGAGACTTTGCCTGCTAGTTATTAAGACCTTCTGAAAAGTTGCTTCAGAAGCAGATTAAAAACCCATCTGCAGTCCCCGGGACACTCCACCACAGAGGGTGGCGACTTCTGGCAGCCAGGCAGGGCAGGCAGCTGGGAGTGGTGACGCTCTAAGCACAGCTCCACTGTCAGGCTCCCTAACTGACCTGGCAGACAGGACTTGCCCAGCAACATTCAACCCGGAGTTCAGCCTCCTCAGACTTGTCCAGCTGTACACCATCCTCCAAAACATCACCCACAAAGCCATCATCTGTCGCTCTCCAACTGGCAGCTCCGGCATCCTGCTCTGTTCCTGGATCTTCTTCAGATCCCACAGCCAGCATTGGTTTTCTCACCTCCCTGTTCGTCAGCTCCTCCCATCACGATCCTCTTACTAGCTGTGGAATGCCAAAAATCACTAGCCTACTCCCTGTCCCAGGGGCAAGAAGCTCTACTCTTGTTTGCCCAGAGACGACTGCAACCTGTCCCAGGCCACCCTGCCAACAGGCTGGTTCCCAAAGCAAGCATATCCAAGCGTGCCAAATGCAAGCCTACTCATCCAGCTACTCTCCACTACGCTTCTTTATCCACCCTTCCGTCAGTCAGGTAGCCGCTCCTCCTCCTCCTCCTCCCTTGCATCTTTCAAAGTCCCTTCCTTCTCCCTAACTTATCCCTTCTACACTGCTCCATTTCACTTTATCTGCCTACTCTTGCAAACATTTGTCTTTTCCAAGAGCCAGCCCACCTACTGCAGGGTCATGTATCTCTTTTAACCCTACTGCAGGGTCATGGATTTCTTTCTCCTCCCCCATGCTGTAGCGCGACCTGTATCCCGCAAAATGTAAAGAAACTGCCAATCTTTCTGGAAGCAGACTTCAACTGCAAAAGAGATGCATGGGTTGGAGCACATCTCAGCATGGGTAACTGCTTAGGAAGATGCACTGGAAAATAATTCAGCAAGCAACAGGAAGCAAAGTGCATGGCTGCGGCCCTGGAGAGCTTGTGCTCTAGCTGCTATCACGCACCGAAGTCTGCATCCTCACGCCTTACTGAAGCTCGGTTCAGCCAGCAGGTAGGAATGGCTCCATGTACGACAATCACATCTTCATTTGGCGATACAGAGGTATCACTAGCTCCCTTGCTCAATTTCTGCCCTTTGACCCCTTAGCTGCTACTCCAGTCCCTTCCTGACCTGCCTGCAGACAGCATGCACATCCACGGCATTTCTAATTGCACTCGGGAGAAAAATCCCTTCAGCTCAGACCGCTCCTACCTGACTGTTCAGCTGCTTTGTGACGCTTGTTGGGATGTGTGACAGTGATCTCCTCATAGTCGGGGTCCTTCTCGGCGATCACTCTCTTGATCCCAGACATGTTCTCCCCGCTACTCCACCAAGAGGAAAAATAAAAGCATTAGCATCACCCACAGCGACCTTCCGGGCAGGCTTCAAACCTCCTGCAGCCGTAGGAGTCACCGTGGGGACCTCCCGAAAGAGCTGGGACACCTCCTTCCCCGGTTGCTACGGATCAAGCCAGAGCTGCAGAGCTCAGAGCTGCTCCCATTCTGCAGCCCCCGGGAGCTCGAACGGCCTCCTGCTCGCCACAGCTCGCCACAGCTCGCCACAGCCCGTGC